GACTTAATGTTTTTGTGGGTTTTTTTAATACAGATATTTGGGTTGGACAGTTGCAAGGATCAACTTTTATATTAAATCCAAAATTAAACTCCAGGATTAGCTTTTTGGTTTTTGTTTATTGTTGTTGTTTTTTAAACCAAACCAAAAAATGGAACTAACAATTCAAGTCTTTGATTTTATATGAGACTCTTACGATTTTCTGTCACCTGCAGTTTGATACCTCCCTGTATGGAATACTTCACCTTGTCAGCACAGAAAGACAGTATACATTAATGCAACAGCATATTAGTATTGCTCCCTTTACCCAAGTTAAGTAATAGTTTATGAAGTTACGCTGATTATCCAACTAGTTACTAAAAAGTCAGTAACTGACCTTTTCTATTACAGCCTTCTGTATTAGCTGCCATAATATGTGTGCATATATATACACACGCACACACACATGACTTTACTGATGGCTTGATAAAACAAATTGAGTTTTTATTAATCAGACTTTCATAGGATTTCAGGAAACCGATACTGCTTTGCTGTATTCCAAAGTTATTAACCAATAACCAACACCCCTCTTGAAATTCTTGTGTGGAATCCTTCGCTTTAACTCACTGTGTTTAGACACCCTCTCATGGCAACACCTACTGTAAAGTAGTATTCCCTCTAATACTAGGAAAAATAATCAAATCTAGACCAGGGCCTTACAAATCAAACAAAGCAAAGCACTGTACTAAGACCAAGAATGTTTTAAATAGGCAAAGTAGTTCCAAGTGGTTTCAAATGCCTTGATAAAGGTGATTCTTTAAGATCAATCAAATGTTGTACATCAGTATAAAATTCTGGGGAAAAAAAAAAAGCAGTTGACTTTACCAGAAACAGCCATAGTATCATTGATCCATGCAATTGAAAATATCCAGTCCTTATGTCCATCCTAAAAGAAAAAAAGAGAGATTTTCTGTGCCATTATATTCTAGAGTGGTCTCAAAACAGACAAATATTCTTCACTTTGAATTATTTTTTTTAACTACAAACTCAGGACAGACCTATGTTAAAAACATACAGATAAGATTCCAATATCAGGCTGAAGCAGTTTATGTACAGTAATTTTAACATTAGTTTTTTGTGGGTTTTTTGTTTGGTTTGTTTATTTTATTTTATTTTATTTTATTTTATTTTAAAGGGTATAATTGAGAACAATTAGGTGATGGAAAAACAGGTCTCTGACCGTTCTCCTTCTAGCATTACATTCCCCGTTGCTCCCTTAGCGTCTTCTGTTCCTCTGAAGGGAGCGGCACGGGGGGGGGTATAATTGAGAACAATTAGGTGATGGAAAAACAGGTCTCTGACCAAGGACAAATTGATCTCAATTCTAAGGACTTAGATTTTCCATTTTGAAAGCAACATTCTTTACTTCTGTAAAGTAGCTACATAGGTTTTTTTCCTCAGATGCAAATCTCTACTATAAAAATTAACCAAAACATTATGTTTATAATACATGACCTACTGATTAATTTTTCAAAACTATTATTTCAAGAATCTTTTCTTTAGCAGGTGAGAAACCTGTGGAGAAAAAAAAAGACCATAAGGTGCTAGTTCTGTTAGAAAAGCTGCAGAGTCACACCAGCACACAAATGAATAATAAGTCATAAATCTTCATTCAAGCCTTTCAGCAGCTGGTTATCTGCTACTGCAGAAACTCTGACCTGACCTCTGTTGTTGTACTGGGTTGGCCAAAAAGTAATTGCTTTTTTTTCTGGGTAAATGAAAGGCAAATTTTTCATAGGAAACAAAAACTTTAATAAACAATATAGTGTCAATTTTTTTCTTAACCCGTCTATCTGGTTACACCACTGATTCCAAGAAAGCTGGATAAAATAAGTTCACTCTCTAAGACTCCTCTTTGAGTTTTAGAAAGCAGGTATTCTTTATTGCACGCAGGGAGTCCCCAGGTTCATTCCTTCGGAGGACTCCGATTTTTCGTTACAAAGTGATTGCTTTTTTTATTGTTTTATTTCCTCGTCTATTTATAGTCTCTCTCACCAGATGTGTCGTCTTCTCATTGGTTCAAAGTTACTATGTTTCTTTTTATTGGATAATATCTTCACAGTTCATGACAACCCAGCACTTCTGCCAAAGGAACACGTACGCCTCAGTTTGCTGTCAGCACTTTCGACAAACTTGTTTACCTTGCGGCATGAAAGCTCATAGTCTTCAGGAGGAAGGCTTATTGTCTTCATCGCTGTAAACTTTTCACCTTTCTCCCAGAAGCAGATGTATTTTGTCACTTATTCTGCTAATTGGGCATTATCAGCACTACTTCTCTAAACATCTTTGGCTACACAAACACAGGATACCCGGACATTCCTAGATAGGGTTGGTAGAACAGACAAAGGGGTTTCTGTTCAATTGGGGATACCATTTCTCTTCACAGAATGTGCTCTGGCCTTCTGCTTATCTGTGGGACTGCTGAGTCTGCAACTGAATTTCACGAAGGCCCTAACAAGCAACAACTTTAACCCTTTCTCACCACGGTCACAGTTCCCTCACACACGCAACTTCATGATTCTGCATGAATCCGAATTCAATTCAGAGATTTTGATGTTAAAGATAGACAACTATTGTTCTACAACAACGACGAATGAAAAAGATCATGGAGCAAGCGTGATGAACCAGCTCAAAGCATTTGAAAAGCAGATATTCACCAAAGGAAGGTTATGCTGTCAGTCTGGTGGGATTTCAAAGGTATTGTGTGTTTTGCATTGCTTCTAGGGAACCAATCCATTAATTCAGACGTGTACTGTCATCAACTGGATAAATTAAATGATGCCATCAAACAGAAGCATCCAGAATTGGTGAATCGCAAAGGTGCTGTGTTTCTCCATGATAACGCTAGACGGCCTTCCAGTTTGGTCGCATGTCAAAAACTGCTGCAGCTTAGATGAGATGTGTTGTTACCACATCCACCATATTCACCAGACCTGGCACCATCAGACTGCCATTTGTTCCATTCTCTACAAAATGCCTTGAATGGTGAAACCTTCACTGCTGATGAGGATATCAAATCGCTCTTGTAACTGTTTTTTTGCCGAAAAAGAGAAGAATTTTTTTGAGCATGGAATCATGGAGTTGCCTGAAAGATGGCAAATAGTAATTGAACAAAATAGATGCTGTATTGTTTAATAATGTTTTTGTTTCCCATGAAAAATTCACCTTTTGTTTACCCAGAAAAAAAAACGCAATTACTTTTTGGCCAACCCAATAAAAAGGCGTCATGATGCTTCAGAAATATAAGCAATACCAGCGTCTATCAAACTGCCATAAGCCACTGAATTAGAACTAGCCCTCAAAGCCAAGTTCTGTCTCTGGAATAATACATACATAAGCTGCACTGGAGTAGGGGAAAATTTGAACAACTTGTATAATCTTTTCAATTTCTCAGAAGAGCTTTTTCACTAAAACTAGTTTCAGAGGTCATCACCACAATTGGACTTATACAGTTAAGATTTTGTTACATTTTCAGTGCTTAATAGTAATTTGAAGTAGACCTGAATGAGGGTGAAGACAACTTAATCAAGAATGTTTTCAAGCTTTCAGAAATTCACTCTCCACTACAAGACTACGAAATCTTAACCTTTCTCTGACCTTACACACTTCAAAGTACTAATTCTTGTAACAGAATAAACTTTCCCCAGATGCTCCCACACAGACAGGATCAAGTGTAGGCAGACGATAAATTGCAAGACTATTGGGGTTGTATCCACCTGTGGCCAGAAGGGTCCTCGAGGGATTGAGCTCAATGGCATGAATACCACAACATCCCTGATGGTTCACCATGCCAGGTTCACGATCTTTCAGAATAGGAATCTTGGTAATTTGACCAGTCTGGACATCTAGTACAAATAACTGGGGGAAAAAAAAGCAGGAGATGTAAGTCATTATGGAACAGATAAGAAAAACAAGATGGTCAAATACCCTCCCTATTTCAAACTGACATTCTTTTAATGTTGGAAGAGAGAAATGCTCTGAAAAAAAAAGTATGGCTGAAAAATGCATAAATTGCTTCTTAAAACAACTAAACTAACTTAATTACAGTTTTATTTTAATCATCCCATTTAGTTTTCAATGAAAGAGAGGAGAAATTTGTCATGGGAGATTTCCCATTTAAAAAAACCCTCAAATCTAAAATTTTTACCCATTTAATACCATGACAAAACAATATTGTTTTTCAGTTTCCTTGTATGACAGTGAGAAAGAAACAGCCAATAAGCCCCAGTGTTGTCCGAAAAGTCAGATTCATCACCCAGCATGCAATTAGCCAATCTCACATGCCAAGTTGAGACACTGACTTTATTTCAGAATTGCACGAAGCTGGGTACTCAGCAGTTTCCCACAAATCAAGCACACCATACACAGAAATTACAGCGTATTTATCTTGATACATGATTAGCAAAACTCTGCCTAAAGTTACATTAATTGCTGTCCTGGCTTGAGCTAAATATAACTAATTTTCTATTTAGTGATTTTACCTTTCAGCTCAGTCTCTTCTAAGTGGCTGAACTTGCTGAAACTAGCAGCATGTTTTTTCTTTCCCAGTGTGTACTGATAATGTTCAAGGCCACTGTCTCACCATGGGTGCTGTGTCTGCACCTACAGGGGGGAAGCGGACCCAAACCTGACCAACGAGGTATTCCATCCCACATACATCATACTTGGTATAAAGCCGAGGGATCATGAGGGTCTCGACCCTTCTTCCATCTTGGAGCCCTTCTATCTTGGAGCCTTCCATCCATCTCGATCCTGCAATGTCCAAAGTCCAAGCAGAACCCTGCTAGTTCATCTGCCTCTGATCCTGATTCATGTGTTCCTGCATCCTGCTCCCACCTGCTGCTGAGTTCGGTCTAGGACTTTTCCAGTGCCCTGCTCCACAGAGCCTCTGGTGATATAATTGTCATTGGGAGAGGGTGGGGGGAGGATTTGATATTGGTTTTGTAGATATATTTGTACATATTTGTATATATTTCATTATTTTTCCTATTTACATTATTATTATGTAGTATTAGTATTATTGCTTCATTAAATCTTAGTTTTATTTTCTAACCCATAAGTCTCTCTCCCTTATTCTCTTTCTCTTCCCCTTTTGGGGAGGGGAGAGGGGTTGATAGAGAGCATCTGTCCAGCATTTAGTCACCAGCCCAGCCCTAAACCATGACAGCATGTTAGCTACCATTTACCAGAACTAGCACCGTTCATTAACTTTGCATTTGCAGAACAAGGAGATCCAACCTCATTGTTGCTCTCCATCCCACAAACAGATCTAAATCACTCTGTGCAGATTAGACAGATGCTGTATAGAGGTACAGGTCTTGCATTCAGGTTTCCATCCATCTGTACAGTGCCATATTTTCAGATGAGAATGGTGATCATTATACATTACCTTCGTTCAAAATTAATTGTGCATGATTTGGACTCCACTCCTAATTACTTCCTAATATTTTCCTTGGCAGTCTACATACTTCAATTTTGGTAAGCATCATGTGGGAGTGGAATAATTAACAGAGGGAAGAGAAAGCGAGGCAGTACTTACTGTGTTGCATTTTGTCCCACACAGTACTTGTCGGTGGTTCAGCCACTGGGAGGCAAAAACTTTATTAAGGGTTCCGAGGTGAAACTCTCTCTCCTTTAGGAGGCTAGGAAGCTGCTGGGCTGCATATCCTTGCAATAAGCGGTGATAGCTGGACTTATTCTGTATCCTGACCTCTCTACCTTTCAGGTAGTACACCAGAGACCTTTTCACCAGGGAGAGTCTTTTCTTTTTGTGAACTGAGTGATCCCGCTCATAATACTGTGGAAAAGCAGCATAGAAATTAGATGAAGCAACTAGAACAAACTTAAGACATGACACTTCTAAATTCAAAGAAATTCTCAGCAAAATACTGAAGTCTTCCATGCTACCCATGGAATACCATACACGAAGATTACCTCGGAAATGCTGATACAGCCACCCAATACCGATCGCGCCGTTCATTAGCCTCCTCCGGCCCGGCCTGAGGTGGCCCCACAGCATCGCTCAACCCGGTGGCGGCGAGGATCCGACGGTTATGAGCCGAACAGCTGAACCCAACGGGCAGGGCAGGGCAGGGCCAGCAGGAACCCGGGAGAGCCCCCAGCGCCACCGGGAGAGAGCGCAGGGCCTGCCTGCTGTATCGCACCGACACC